TTAGGGACCTTAATACACGAGGACGAAAGGCCAGGACGGCAACGGGAGTGGACGCGGGAAACTTTCGCGGGTCCCATCGTGACGCCAAAAACGAAATCCTTCAGATGTGCATTTTCGCAAAGGACGGCGACGTCAATAATTCGAACCTCGTACAAGCTATTTACAGAAGCACTGACATCCATTAGACTATAAAACAGTTGGTAGAAATCTTATCCTATTAAGCTTAAACGATAGTGAACAGCGATGCTGAATTTTTTTTTCTTTTTAAGCGAAGCAGACATCTGTCAATATTTTAATAGACAAACCATAATTTCCGTATGAAAAAAGTAAACGAACAATCTGATCGACTGCTTCAGATGGCTTTTTATCACCAGATCGTTTGAGAATTCTGTCGCCGAAGAATCATGACTTTTGGTGAACGTTAAGTTTCAATTTTCATCTGTAATTGTAACAAACATTATAAAATCAAACAAACGTCGCATCAAGCTGAGGGTAGTATAAAAAAACAGCTAAACATCAGTTTGAAAATGTGTATTTTCTTTGCTCGAAGATGCTCCATGACATTCATTCTTACAACATTTTATCGACTGTACTTACACTGATGTATTCTCAATGCATACAGTTTGTACTGAGCTTGCACACTCGTAATAGCGTCTGAGCAGTGACTGCAGAAACACAAACGAACAGACGAGGAATATTTTTATTTATATTTTCGTATCTCAGCGTAGTATTCTACACTACAATCACGAAAACTGTAAACCTTATAAACATTCCTATCAATACAACTAAAAAATAAAGTCGATTGGAACAGTTATCGGGGCAAAACAGGTGCAAAATACTCAGGTTTTCGATACGACGGCTAGTCGGGCGAAATGGCGTCCTCGACGAGATGGGGACGGCATCAAGATGAGTCAAGAGTTCTCGTGCGCATGCCCGATTGAGTTAATTTACTTCTGGTAGCCGTCCTAGCTCGTCCCGTCCTGTTATCTTAAGGTGCCTATTATCCTTTAGGAAAACAGGGGCATTTACCAGCAAAACATGCCACCCTCTTGGCTCGAAGCGCATGCGTCGTACATCAACAGACATTGTTCCAGTACCACTGAACTGCTCACATTCAAACCAGGCTCATTGAATAACGCCGTTCGCCTTAAGGTACCCATAATTCCCGCTCATATCTTGGAAGATTCAACTTTGGTTACTCTCAAAATTGTGGTTTCTATGGATGAAAGTATTGGAAAGAAGGAGAACAGCGATCCAATGTATGGTGTGTCAGACGGGGTCAGCTTTCTTGGCTTTAAGACTGAAGATGAAGGAAATCGCAAGATTGGCTACACTCCCTGTTTTGGAATTGAGGGAACCTCTAGTAAAAGTTAGTCTAAAGAAATCCCGATAAACAAGTACTCTCCCAGACCAAACCACTCCTTCTATGACGGCCAGTTTGTAATCACGCTCAAGTTAAACAAACACTGGGGCTCATGCAACACTGCGCATGACGGAGGCTTTGTGAAGACCGTTGTCTACAACAAGCGACTGCTGCTCAGCAAAGGTTTTACTCTCGAGGTTTACAAAGGCGATAAATCCGAAAGAGTTGGGATAAAGTCTATCGAAGTCACTGTTATGTAACATTCTTAGAGAGAAATATCAGTCGGTCACGACATTACTCGGTTAAAAAAGTAAACATAAGCAGTGTAGCAATCACATGGTACAGCAATTATATATTGGTGACTAATTTGGAAATGAACGAGTAGAGACTGTTAAACTAGAGCATTTAAATGTAACAGCAACTACAAATTTAAAGGATATGTAACTATTAATTAAGACATAGTCAGATGATTTGATGCTAAACAACTGAAATTTTTGTTTGCTGAAATGAAAATAAAAGGTGTCAGAAAAAATATAGAGCGCGCTTGATCATGATT